GTCCTGAGTCCAGCTCCAAAAAGCTCTTTCCCGCACTACTTTTGTACTACAAACTGGCCACTTCTGAGTCCAGCTCCGAAAAGCTTCTTCCCGCACTACATTTGCACTACGAACTGACCAGGTCTGAGTCCAGCTCCACAAGTGCAGCGCCAGGACTAACGAGCGCTTCGTACGAGACTTCCTCCAAAAGTGAAGCGCCAAGTCTCCAAAACGCGCGTTCCGTGCGAGACTTCCTCCAAAAGTGAAGCGGCAAGTCTCCAAAACGCACTCTCACCTGCACTTCGCGCCCTCGACACGCACGATCTCCGCAGAGGGTTGCGCGCGGCCCGGACAAATCGCACTCTCGCCTGCATTTCGCGTACTCCACACACACGATCTCCGCAGAGGGTTGCATTTTCGGTTGACGCTGTTCGTCCCACCCTCCGCCTTTAAAGAGAATTTATAAAGTGGGGGAATGTTTTTCATTAGGATATCTCCAGTGAAAGTTTTTCATGCTTATGCTTGCACTTGCATACTTACACTTGCATGCTTACACTTGGATACTTACACTTGCATACTTGCACTTGGATGCTTTCACTTGCAAACTTTCGGAAACTTGCACTTCGATACTTCAGTGCCATTGTAAGTATACAAGTGTAAATGTTCTAGTGTAAGTATAGAAGTGTAAGTGTTCAAGTGTAAGTATAGAAGTGCAAGAAGAGATTTTCTGGAAGAACCCTTCGCAATGCTTTCGGGAAAAACAAGCAGTAAGATTCTTTATGGACATGTTTGTCTTATTTTCTTTTAAATAGACCTTCGTGCACGAATTGAGGAATATCTGGGAGCCTGGCAGCTTGGCCCAACAAAATGGGCAGCTCATGATGGCGCAGCAACCTAAAGCGGGTCCAACATGTTTTTTACAGAAACAAACACAATCATTACTTTGGTTAGCTTCACCAACACTTGGCACAGTGAAAAAGAACACATTGTGTAGAGAAACAATTGTTGTTGCAAGAGTCGACTGCTGGTTATTCCATTTGGACAGTCCTCATTTATCACACTACTTGTCTTGATAGAAAGCCCTCTTCTAAAAGTGAAGTCGTGAAGTCGCGTCAAACCAACAAGGACTCTACTAGGTGCTCCTGGCCTTACTACTAGGAGCAAGGACGCTACTAGGAGGGGGCATCGCTACCAGGAGCATTCTTATTACTAGGAACAATAAAGCTACTAGTAACAAAGGGCGTCGCTACTAGGAGCAAGGACGCTACTGAAACGCATGTGATTGAGCTCTGCTTGGAAAGCTGCCTAGGCCTGGGACAAAAATAGAACCCCCAGGTCTCAAGTGCTCCAAAAACAAACGACAAGAACACTTTCGGCAACCTGATAACAACATAGATGCCTGAAAGTCATCTTGTCACTATAATCAGTTCTTTTCGTTGATTTTCTCGTGAAACGTTTTTTTCTTCTTTCCTTGTTTTTCACACCCAACTACTTTGAGGTGTGAGGGAAATTTCATGCCCCTTGCTGCCTGTGGATCTTGTTCGAAACACCTGGGAAGGTCTTTCTCGTTTGAAACCCTATATGGCGCGTGCGCCGTCGCTTTCTCACCACTTCATCTTATACCAACTTGCACTCATCACTTTCACTCTCTACTAGGGGCTCCTGGCCTCGCTACTAGGAGCAAGAACGCTACTAGGAACAACGGGCATTACTACTAGTAACAACAAGCTATTAGGTTGAAGATTCCATATATGTTCAAGCATTGCACTTCGCATCTCCGCTCATCATCTGCACTTATCTGCTTTTTGCCTCCACTTGTTAACACAAAAGCTTCATATGTGGCGTTATCCGGTCCATTAAGCTAGTAGTAACAAGTGCCTTACTAGTAGTAACAAGAAGGTAGTAATTACAATTCAAATTAAATTCTTCTTGTTACTAGTAGTAAGGCACCTGTTACTACTAGCGTGGCACTTGTTACTAGTAGTAACAAGAAGCTAGTAGTAACAAGTGCATCGCTAGTACTTTTGTTCGGCCGCAGAAGACTGGGGGTCGGGGCCATTGTCTGTGACTGTCAGCAACAAGGAAGCTGTGAGTAGCAAACACACAAGAACCTTTCGTAGGTCCAAATGGTTCCTAGATTTATAGGGAAACCAAGCAAACATTTTAAGCATCAACACCATCAATAGACTTTCTGCAACTCCTGAGTGATAGACCTCAATTTCTCCCCTTGTATTCCTTACAAGACCATGACGGCCTGGGCCTAGAGATGTCTTGCATTTGGAATGCTAAACACTCTGTATATGGCCCAAGTGGTCCAACAAGGAAAAACAATGGCACAAAGAAAAGAAGAAACAGAAAGACTAAACAAATGAAAAAGGAGATCTACAAAGACACACTCCTTGCTCCATGTGGCACAACTCTGAGTCCAATGGCTGAGCATGGCGTTCGGGGGAATTGGGCTCTGAGTGGCCAGAGTGCCATGACTCCTCCAAAGTTCAGGCTTTCAGGATTTCTTTATTTTTCTGGGGGGGTAGGCCAGGTAGCTAGTAGCTACGTAGCTACTACCAACAGGACAGATGATAGCTCACGCTTCTTCAAGGAAGCTCCCCCCGCCGCCGCTCGCACTAATGATTTAGTTCCTAGATCTTTAGGAAAAATTAATGCTTGTCTAAGCCTTTGACATCTGTTTTCAGCAAAGCGACACAGCTAGGACAGCAAAACTGATGGACAACAGGGGACGAAAAAAGAAGGCACAGCAAGCAAGGTATTGCATATGGACAACACTTCGTGCAAAAGGATCCGCACAAGAGTCAGTAACAGAGCGATCCAGTCCTCCCGCCGTGCACATGCTGCAGCGACGTATGTGCTCGCATATCCAGCCTGAGATCAATGTTCATTATGGAGTGCACAGGGTGCAAAGTAAGAATGCTCCTAGTAGCGATGCCAGGAGCCCCTAGTTGCGTCTTTGCTCCTAGTAGTAAGGCCAGGAGCCCCTAGTAGCTTCTTGTTTTTAGTAGCGATGCCAGAAGCCCCTAGTAGCGCCCTTGTTATACTTTTCAATCATGAATCTGTGAACCGACTCAATTCTCAGCTGTCGACAACTGCACCTGTGCTTGGTGAGAAGAACCTCACGAAGGCCAGTGAAACAGCCTATTGCAAAAAAGATCAAAAAAACTTAACACTGGCTTAGGCCTTACGCCCGAAGTACAAGTCATGTCACTCACATCAAGTCTCTAGGCCCACATATTCGTGGATTGGGTCGATTGGCTAGTAACAAGAGAACGCTACTAGTAACCAAGGGCATCGTTGCTACTAGTAGCTCCTGGCATCGCTCGTAGGAACCAGAAGCTACTAGGAACAAAGGGCATTACTACTAGTTGCAAAAGGCGGGCATCGCTATTAGGAGCAAGGACGCTACTGAGGGCTCCTGGCCTTACTACTAGTAACAAGAACCGCTTGATCATTCTGCACTTGTGAGCTAGGCTTCTTGCGCATTATTGGGGGTCCGCGGAGTGCGCGGTGTCACTGGAGTCTTGGGCGTCCTGGAAGGTAAATCGGTCTGTACGCCCGTCCACGAGAGCCGAAACAAACGAAGCGGCCTTTTGTAAGCCTCTGAACATTGCAAACGCACCTGGTAGCGTCTTTGCTCCTAGTAGTAAGGCCAGGAGCCCCTAATAGCGTCCTTGTTACTAGTAGCGATGCCAGGAGCCCCTAGTAGCTTCTTGCTCCTCGAGAGTCTTACTTTCTCAAAACTAGTAGTGTCTTTGCAAATGAAAAGAATGGGTTCTAATTTTCGTCGGCGTGTGCCGGGGTTGGGTGGTAGTGGTAGTGGTAGTGGTAGTGGTAGTGGTAGTGGTAGTGGTAGTGGTAGTGGTAGTGGTAGTGGTAGTGGTAGTGGTAGTGGTAGTGGTAGTAGTAGTAGTAGTAGTAGTAGTAGTAGTAGTAGTAGTAGTAGT